TAGAAAATTTTTTATAGTCACTAACATGTCAAATCTTCATATGGGTTTAATTTTCCAATTTTAAGTTTTTAATGATTTAAAGTAAAGTTGTAATTTGAAGGAAGTAATTAATTTTAGTAAGTCACTCTAATTTCATTTGTGTTTTGAATGTCTTCCCCAAGTAGCATTTCTGACATTTACAACCACTTGGATTAATTGAGTTGGAGTAAAAATTTAAATTTAATAAGTCAAAATTCAAATAAATTCCGCTGAGTAGTTCCTTGGAGAATACCAAAAGCACCATCCTATCATGTGGCTCTCAGTATATGCAAACTTAAAATTTTACTAGATCTTGATAAAATTTTGATCTGATAAGTTTTCAATGTGGAACATACAAAAAATTCTCACTTGACCTTTAACATGATGGTGTCATACATTTCATATCAATATGTTATTATAACAAATAATTGTATAAATATTTTATACATGACTTTCACAGGCCTACCAAATTTAGTAATAATTCCTTTTTTTGGTTATTTTAAAAAAGCCCAAAACATAGAGCAAGAAGTTTTCTAGGTGCTTCTGATGCTGGCAGACTATGTACACAATTTTATTCTATGTGAAATTAAATCTAACTTGTTGTAGTGTAGTGGTTACGAATCGGGCTGCAAAGCTGAAGGTCAGCAGTTCAAAACTACCAGCTGCTTTGTGGGAGAAAGAAGAGGCTTTCTGCTCCCGTAAAGATTTACAGCCTTGGAAGCCCTGTACAGGGTCGCTATGAGTCGGAACCGACTCCACGGCACATAACAACAACAACATCGTTGTTGTTAGGCGCCATCAAGTAGTTTCTGACTAATGGTGACTGCGCACAGCTGGATGAAACACTGCCCAATCCTGCACCATCCTCTCCATTGTTCTGTTTGGGCCCTCTGCCGTTGCGACTGTGGCAGTCCATCTCCTTGGGGGTCATCCTCTTTCTCAGTGAGTCTCCACTTTACCGAGCATGATGCTCTTCTCTAATGAGAGACGAACTCCTGCCATCCTCACTTATAACGAGCATTCTGGGTGTACTTCCTCCAATACAGATTTGTTTGTTCTGCTGGTAGTCCATGGTGCTTTCGGTATTCTTTACCAACACTATAATTCAATATATAATATAATAATAATTCAAATAATTCAAAACATTGATTCCTCTCTAGTCTTCCTTATTCATTATCCAATTTTCACTTGCATACTGTTGATGTTGTTGTTACTAAGTGCCGTCGAGTCGGTTCTGACCCATAGAGACCTTGTATAGGGTTTCCGAGGAGGGGCTGGTGAGCTTGAACCACCGACCTTGTGGTTCAAACCAACTTTCCAGTCCAGCACCACACCAGAACTCCATATACATATTGTTGTTGTTGTTGTTATGTGCTGTGGAGTCGGTTCCGACTCATAGCAACCCTGTACAGGGTTTCCGAGGGTGTAAATCTTTAAGGGAGCAGAAAGCCTCATCTTTCTCCCGCAGAACAGCTGGTAGTTTCGAACTGCTGACCTTAAAGATTCGCAGCATGATTCGTAACCACTACGCTACCAGAGACCTTATTAGGCGATTAAAAATACCATGCTTGGGTCAGGTGCACCTTAGTCCTCAAAGTGACATCTTGAACACTTTAAAGACGTCTTTTACAGCAGAATTGCCTAATGCAATATGATCTTTCATTTCTTAACTGCTATTTCCCTGAGTGTTGATTGTGAATCCAAGCAAAATGAAGACTTTGACAACTTCAGTCTTTTCTCCATTTGTCATGAAATTATGATTTGGTCCAGTTGTGAAGATTTTTGTTTTCTTTACATTGAGGTACAATCCATATGGAAAACTGTAGTCTTTTATTTTCATCACTAGTATTTCAAGTCCTCTTCATTTCCAGCAAGCAAGGTTGTTTCATTTGCCTAATGCAGGTTGATAGTGAGTCTTCCTCTAATCCTGATGGCACATTCTTCTTCACACAAACTGAATAAGTATGGTAAAAGGATACAACCCTCATGTGCATCTTTCCTGAATTCAAGCCATTCAATATCTCCTTGTTCTGATCTAACAACTACCTCTTAGTCTACAAAGAAGTTCCTGATGAGAACAATAAAGGACTCTAGAACACCCATTCTTCGCAATGTTGTCTATAGTTTGTTATGATCCACACAGTCGAATGCCTTTGCATAATCAATAAAGCACAAACAAACATCTTTTTGTTATTCTCTGCTTTCATCCAGGATCCATATGATGTCATCAGTGATATCCCTCAAGTTCTCTTCTGAATCTAGCTTGAAATTTTGGCAGCTCTCTCTGCTGCAAGCATTTTGAACTATCTTCAGAACAAATTTACTTGCATGGGATATTTATGATATTGTTGGGTGATTTATACATTCTGTTGGGTCACCTTTTATAATCATTTTTAGGAATTCCTTCTCAGGCATTTCCAAAGCCTGCCCATCTTCTAGTATGGAGTGTAGATCTACTTCCAGTTCATTTGCCTCAGTCACTTTATCTCGTTTCTGGCCATGTGCAGATATGGTCATCTGCTTCTGTTTTTTGGGTATCTTCAGGGGTTATCTGTGGTCTTAATACTTAGATGGGTATGTATTTTGGTATTTTTTATGCTTTCTGAATGCCTCCAGGTAGATGGGATCAGGGAATGGGCTTCCATTTTCACTCTTCTTTCATTGTCTCTATGGTTCTGCCAGGCGTCTATGTCCGCTCCAATCCTTTCCTCGAGTGGTCTCACCCAAGATGGCAGCTCCTGGAGCAGCCGAGCGTCCCGGACTAGAAAGCAATAGATTTCTTGCTTCTGACACAAATTCCCCCAGCTGTGATCCTTCCAACTTTCTAAGTATTCCTTTATATGTGGTTCAGAAATCTGGGACCAGCCCCTGAGCCTGCTTGGTTGGGTATTCTGTGTTGTTGTTGGCAGGGCTCCTTTACTGCACTTCCACCCGATCCACCATCTTGTTTGTTCCTCCTCCACTTCATTTTTGATTGCTTACAATTTTCCTAGAGTCATACTTTGTGCATTCCAAATTCTGATTATTAATGGATATTTCCAGCTCTTTCATCTTATTTTGAGTTATGCCCATCAGCAAATGAAGGTCATGAAAGCTTTGCTCCACTCACGTCATTAAGTTGAACTCTACTTTGAGGAGGCAGCTCTTCCCTAGTCATATTTTGAGTGCCTTCCAACCTGAGCAGCTCATCTTTGGGCACAGTATTTGACATTTTTCTGCTACTATTCACAAGGTTTTCAGTTCTTAACCATTCAGAAGTAGTTTGCTTCTCCTTCTTCCTAGTCTGTCTTGGTCTGGAAACTCTGTTGCCACCTATTTATTCACCATGGGTGGCCCTGCTGTATCTAAAATACCGGTGCATAGCTTCCTACTTCATCACAACACACAAACCACCACAGTAAGACACTGACAACAGATTAAGGTGGCTCTGTGGCAATATTCTATTTAACTGATTTGAGGAGAATTAAGTGCCGGAATCATGCTTGTTCTTTTTTTTTTTTTTTTTTTTAATGAAATAGAGAAAATCTGAATTATGGAAGCCAAATTTGACAAGTACAGTGATACAGTGTGTGTTGTTTACAAGTTTTTTGATAATGAGCAGATTGCATTTCCAGACAGCAGTAAGCTAATAGAACTGATTAGCTTACTGTTGCTGTGCAGCTGATAGTCGATTTATTATTTGCTATATGAAATACGATTATACTCATTAATATCAATGCTTATGGAAATGATTTTATGTGTGTGATTGTGTATCCAGCACCAATTTGAAATGGCAAATCAAATAGAATAAGCATTGGACTGCTAACCACAAGGTCAGAGGTTCAAACCCCACCAGCAGCTACTCTTGGAAACCCTATATAGGATCTCTATGTGTCAGAGCCCACTTGATGGTACTTAACAACAACAGCTATCAAAGCTGGGGGCTATTTTAGTACAGCTTCATTTTCTTTTTTGCTCATCAAGTAGATTTTCAATCACTTTGATAACTTCTGCACCAGTCAATACTATTAAAGCTTTAACCCATCTATAGCCCTTTCCAGATATTACTCTATGATGTTATCACGGGGGTCATGTTGACCCTGTTGTCGTTAAGTGCCATCAAGTCAGATCCAACTCATAGCAACCCTGGATAGGATTTCCGAGGAGCAGCTGGTGAATTTGAACGCAGACTTTGCAGTTCAAACTGACCTTGCAGTCCAGCACATTATCCCATAGTGTCACACCAGGACTACATGTTGACCCTACTGGTGACCATTTAGAGACGTGAAGGTGAAAGCAACAGTGACCTTACCTTTTAGTAGGGGACCCAACATAGGAAACTATAAAAATATTAGGAAGAATGGAATAAGTTCCATTGAATGTTATGAAGAAATTGTTGGATGTATGCACAAGTTGGAGATCTGACTGTGGGGGAGTCTAGGGAAGGGTCTTAGAGGAGGTCCATTTTTAGGCCTCTTTTAAGGGAGGGGATGACTTGGATGGTGGTGTGTGGATGAGATGAGTAGGCACAGTGAGTTTAATGGCTCCAAGTGGGGCATCACAATAGCGCCTTGGGTTCACATTTATGGTTTATGAGGGAGAGTCTCACCTACTACCTATAGGATCAGACTATAATTGCTTGTTAGGGTTTCTGAGACTGTAAATCTTTATGGGAGCAGACAGCATCATCTTTCTCCCTCAGAGTCGCTGGTGGGTTTGAACCATCGACCTTGCACTTAGCAGTCCAATCTTAGTCCATTGTGCCACCAGGAACTCCTTATGAAGGATATTAGGGGAGAAAAATGGGACAGTTAGGTGAAGTTAGGTCATATTGTGTAGGGCTTTAAAAGAGGTAAGATGAATTTTTTTTCTTTAGTCTACAAGGAGTCATTGCTCATTCTTGAGATGGTAGTTTCATCAGAGCAGTGCCTTAGAACATTACTTTAATGCACTGGAAGGTTGGGTTGAAAAGAAAGTTTCTGATTCATTTCTTCCTGTTTAAGCTTGCTTCCTTACATACTGCATCCTTTTGTGGCCAAGGCATGCATTACAAGCAAGGTCAACATGGTCACTGCGAGCTATATTACACCACCACTTAAAGAACTGCAAAAGAGGTAGGTTTCAATCTTTCTTTGCCAAGTCAGTGGCTCCATGACGTTAGTTCTATTCATAGCCAACTGTTCCTTCTTCCTTCATCTGTGGTAGTGTGGAAGATGCCGGCATCACAGTCATTGGTGAATTAGGACTGGATCCAGGCCTTGATCATATGTTGGCAATGGAAACCATAGATAAAGCTAAAGAAGTTGGAGCCACGGTGAGCCCAGTTTATACCCAAAGGTCCACTCGGGAAAAATATGAAATGGTCCCGGCTATTGTATATATGAAATGATCTTTCTGTAAATTTGCTTAAAGATGATGTCGTATTCCAACTCACACTTTGACTAGAAATATCAGGTAAAATTCTGTAACTGCTAAACTATTTATGGTAAAACAGTTTGTAAGTGTTTGGCAGTAATCACTATTTAGTAAAATAAATGTTTTTAGAATATTTTGTTTTAATAAAAATTTTAAGTTCTCTTGGAAATTCTGTAGTAAGATATGAATCATAAAAGTGAGCATAATTGTTTGAAATCTCATTACTCTGTTGGTATACAAAGTATCTTTTACATATGAGAAGAAATTATTGGATATGATACGTTTGATGAATCAGATGAATATTTTGATTTCTGTGAAATTTTATAATTTGAGTCCAAATATCAGTAGGAATTAATCAAGCAGAATTGACTTAATAGTTGGATTTTAACTGAAAAAAAAAAAGTTTGTCTGAATCTCTAGAAGCTTTGAATAAATACATACATATTCATGTAATATATATGTATATATTAATTTGCATCTTAATCAAATGGTTCAGGGGGATGGGGGAGCTTAAAAAGAGTCATTGAAAAATTTATCTTTCGGTTCCATTTTTTTCCATAACTTTTTGAGGTTCCTGCTAAAGTAGATACCTACTCCATGGCACCTCACAACAATAACAACAACAACAACAACAACAACTTATATGTGGAGATAGTTTTGAAGGTCTTAGTAAATGTAAGAGAGGGAAAACTAGCATGATTGGTTCCTATCATGGTATCACAATTAATCTCCCTAACACTGATTCTTTAATTTACAGATTGAATCTTATGTTTCCTACTGTGGTGGACTTCCAGCCCCTGAACATTCAGACAACCCTTTGAGATACAAATTTAGCTGGAGTCCTACGGGCGTTCTGATGAACATCATGCAGCCTGCCACCTATCTGCTTAAAGGAAAGGTGAAAGAGTATCATTCAAGCTCTAGAGATACAAAGGCTAGAACGCTTTGTCTCTGATACCCAGGCCCTTGACGATGCAGCTGGGAGAGAAAGCTGGTCATGTCATTCTGTGGTGTTTGATATTTATTTTGTAGCTAATAAGTGATTCTTAGGTGCCCTGCTGGCACAATAGATAAGTGCTCAGCTGCTAACTGACAAGCGGCTGTTCAAATCCACCAGTGGCCCCATGGGAGGAAAAAAAACCTGGTGACCTCTTTCTGAAATGATTACAGCCTAGAAAAAATGCTTTGGGGACGTTTGGGTCCTATAGTGTCACTGGTGTGCTACAGCATCAGCACTGGACTTTGAACTATAAGGTCGGCAGTTCAAACCCACCAGCTGCTCCTCAGAAACCCCATACAGGGTCGCTATGAGTCAGAATGCTCGACGACACTTAACAATTACAAGATAGTGTCACTATGAGTTGGAATTGATTTGATGGTAAACAACAACAGGTAGCTTAATAGGTACCTACCCAATAACTCTCTACCTCCACAGCATGATATGAGCACAGCTTTCTTTCCCAGCCGTGTCATCGACATTCCCCACATCCCTTCTCTTGTATTCTTTTGCTCAGTCTGGCCATGCAAGTACTTCATGATTAGCAGTTAACCAAAAGGTAGGGGTCTGAACTGATCAGCTACTCAGTGGGAGAAAAAACCTGACAATCTGTTCCTATGAAAACATTCAGCTTTGGAAACTCTGAGGAAGCACTGCTGTGACTCGGAATCCACTTACTGGCACACGGCAGCTGCAGCAGAGAACAAGGGGTGGTCTTGGGTGAGGTCACTGGGTCACCTGGGGTATAGGATTTAGAGTCATTCCCTCTCACGGTGATTAGTCCTATGTCTTTAAAAGGAGAGTCTAGCAATCATAATGCCGAGTCTCAGTGTATCTGTGAATTGGAATACGAGAGGGCTTCAAAAAGTTCGTGGAAAAACTGGAATTAAAAGGTAATGGAATTTCCCCATAAACTTTTTTGAAGGCTCCTCATGTATGTCAGGTACAAAGGAGTGAAGTGAAAGGATTTAAGACAGAAGGGGAATGTTCCTATCAGACGTATGATTTAGAGATTGCCTTCAACCTTGGCAGCACATTGGAATCTGCAGGGAAGTGTAAAAGTACCGGTGCATGCGCTCCGGCTCCAGAGAGGTTTTTGATTGGCTTGGGTTTTTTTTCTGGGTTTTAGAATTGTGAAAACTCCCCAGGTAACTTTAACAGGCAGTTGAGTTTGAGAACTGCCGAGTAAGAGTCCTACAGCTACCCTGAACATACCTCTAAGCACACTGGGCACTTCATGTTGTTTCTGGGAAGATGCGGTTCCCTGTTTCAGCATATAAAAAAGGACCCCTCGGTTCTGGTCCAAGAGCTGCGTCCCCCTCAGTATCACCGAAGGCCACAAAATTATAAAGGTCCTCTGGGCTCCCATGGCCTCTCATGTGATGCGAACCTGATGTTTCATCTTTTCTCTAATGTAACTCATGAAGGTTTGGACCAGACTCATGGTCCTTTCACGCAGCACACATGCTTTCACATGCCACAGTCTGGCTCCTGTTTCATCTTCTTTGAACCTTTTGTAGTTTTGAAAAGAGACCCAACCCGTGTTCAGTATGAAGTAACATGTGCATGCAGGGAAAATTCTTCCTTCAATCTGGGAAAGACACTTGTTTTCAGGAGACTATAAAAATGAAAAAGGTGATAATAATAAAAGGGTGAACAGAGTGTAACTCATCCAACAGAAAGAGCAAGGGATTTGCTGCTAGCAGGTCTGGTGTTGGGTCCAGCTCTGCCATTAATGGCAGGGTGGCAGAAGAACAGTCATTTAACCTGTGTGAACCTGGTGCTCCTTGTCTATGTGGACAATGACATCAGCCTTGCAGGGTTCTCATAGCGTAGCTCAATGAGGTCACTTCGATTACAACCTGCTTAATGTTGGGTGCATCATCAGCTTCCAGCAAATATTAGCTACAGGCAGACATTAATGGTGGCAAGGCCTCAGGAAAAGCAAGAGGTTCTTTTCAGGCATCACAAGCTGTGTTTGTTGAATCTGAAGTTCTTCCCTTTTATCCTGAACTCCTTTTGTAACAGGAGTGCTTTTTTGCATCTCCCTGACTTTGTGGAGGACACCGAGAGAAAGCCTGATGCTTTGCTTGGCTTTGCTAGAATGATACGTTTTTCAAGGTCCTGTTCGAGTTTTCTCTCTTGAATGGAGCCTTTCCTGGCCACTCCAGCCCCCACTCACCATACTTTTCTCTGCACTCCCACGCTTTGATTGTCTGTGTCTAAGCAGTTTCTGCGTTCTCTATTATTCACTCAGTAATTTAAGTGCATCAGTTTGTCTCCCAAGCCAGATTTTGAAACTTCTTAAAAACTCTCTTGTGTTCTTGTCTCTCCATCCTGTTTGCCTTTGTGATCCTGACCATGAAGCAAGGTTTCAGTAATTCACAGAATCAGGGCTGGGGTGTGTGTGTGTGCCTCTGGCTTCTGCTTTAAGCAGACATCTAAAACTTCTAGCAATAGGTTTGACCAATGAATTAGGATGTGCTTCAGGGTCCAGTACCCTTGCAGTGATTTCCAAATATTGGTACTAGTTCTAAGGAGCCCTGTGGCACAGTGTGTAAAGCACTCAGCTGCTAATTAGAATGGTTCAAACCCACCAGTTGCTTCATGGTAGAAAGACGAGGTTGTCTTCTTTCATAATTATATTGTTGTTGTTGCTGGTAAGTGCCGTTGAGTTGGTTCTGACCCATAGTGATCCTGTATAGGGTTTCCAAGGAGCGACTGGTGAACTTGAACCACCAACCTTGTGGTTCTCACTGACTTTACAGTCTAATGCATTAGCCCACAGGGCCACACCAAAAGTCCTTCTTGATGATATCCAGCTTTGGAAATCCTACTCTAGTCGAGGGGGATTGATTGCTATGAGTCAGAACCTACTCAACAGCAGCGGGTTTGGTCTGGTTGGTACTATGTCTAACTTCTAACTTCACAACTGATTTATAACAAGTCTAAGTTCTCTTCCACATCTTTGAATAAATGCTTTGGTCTTCTCTCGGGTCTTTCCATGCTGTTAGTGACAGTGTTCTTCACTACATGGGTGGCGTGTAATAGTGCGTGGCAGAGCCTCAGTCACCTGGCATCTCCTTCAGCTTCCTTCCTCAGACCCCTCAACTAAACAGACTATCTAAGTAAGCATGCCAAGGCAGTGGTCTCTGCAAACACAGCTTCAAGATACGCTTCCTAGCCTCCGCCCCCTCAACTGCACTCCCTACCCCTTCTTTCAAGAAAACCAAGAGTTGCCACTGCTCTCCCAGTTCCTGAAGCCATTAGTAATGCAATTTTTAGGTGCACAATTAGGAATAAAATGCAATTTTCAGGTACATCGCTTCTGTCACTGTTTTTACCAGGTGTTATTGAGTCTACTCTCGACTCATAGCGACTCCATGTAACAGAGTAGAACTGTCCTATAGGGTTTTGTAGGCTGTAGTGGAGTCCTGGTGTGGCGCTGTGGGTTAATGCACCAGACTGCAAAGGTCGGCTGTTCAAGTTCACCAGCTGCTCCTCGGAAACCCTATACAGGGTAGTATGGGTCAGAACTGAGTCAACGGCACTTCACAACCACAACAGTGTTTATGGGAACAGATCCCAGGTCTTTCTGTCCTGCAGTTCCTGGATGGATTCCATATAGTGGGAAGTGTGATGTAGAGGAAGGAGCACAGCCATTGGAATCAGATAAACCTGGATTTAAATCTGCCTCCAGGTGACTCTCAGCCTCCGCTCTGCTCTGTAAAATCAGTTACTGACTGGATTCAAGGTGATGTATATAAGACATTCTTACCACATGGAGGTGGATGAATGTGTATATACTTCCTATGTTGAATTTCTTCTTGTTTAACTATAAAAACTTATTGAGATCAGTTTGAATATTGATTCTAAAATAGGTGACAGTAATTCTCAGCTCTTGGGAGACATAAATGGGGGTGGTGGGGTTGTGGGGAGTTGCCCATTAGAGCAAACTACAACAACAATGAATATGAAGCAAGAATTCTGCTGGGAGTAGGTCTTGGAGGTCGGTGAGAAAAAACAAAAATATATGTTTTCTGCAAAATACATTAAATATGTCTTCCAGTTATTGTCGAAGTCACTAGTAAAGTGTTAAGCAGGACAAGGCTAATACTGGATCCTGTGGTCTTCCACTCAGAAATACCAGTCAGAGTTGCTATCATATGAGAATGGGTATTACTCTGTTACCATCAGATGATAGTGATATTAAGTAGTTTGGGGGTCAGTTGCTTACCCAGGAGTCAGTCTCTACCTTCAGCTCCCATTCCCTTATTCTCTGTATAAAAAGCTCATGCTAGATTTATGGAGCCGCTGAGTGATTTCCAGTTGGTGAAGTACCGGAATACTGTGATATTTATTGAAAATGTCTCTCAAAAAAGTTCTTGGCTTCCAAACAAGCAAATACAATGTTAGCATCATAGGTATAAAAGTGAGGTGAGTATGGGAACCATGAAGGTCAACATTTGCCTTTTTAGTGTATTAAAATAATAATAATAGAATCCTGACCGAAGGAATTGGCTTTCAAGAAACAGTGCAGAATTTTTCTCCCTGGAGATGTTTACTGTTCAGTCTAGAAGAGCTTCACAAGAAAACTAAGTGAAAGGCCTCCTCCCTCCCTTCAGATTCTCCAGGACTTTAGACGGTGCTGGGAGCCATGTAAAGGGGTCTTTTCCATGGAAAGGATATCGCCAGACCTGACTTTGCCTTCAGTGTAGTCCTTCCTTCTCCTTCAGATTTGAGCCAGATAGAAGTCAGTTTCTGTTCTCTCTCCCAACTGAGGCATATATGGAATCCACCCACCTAACAACCTCTAAGAATCATTGTGTTTAGCTCAAGATTTTTTCAGGGAAGTCACTCAAGTCAATTGTAAGGTGCCACATGTGGTCTTGTTTGGTGCAGCTTTAGAAATGGTTTCCAGGGGTGCTGTTTTTGTGTCCGGTCAATTCCAACTCAAAGCCACCCTGTAGGGCAGGGCAGAATTGCCCCATCAGGTTTCCAAGACTGCCACATCCTTTCCTCCTCAGAGCAGACCCGGCCAGGTTTCTAGCCCTGATTTTATAACTCCAGGGTGTTTTACATTATATCAGAAACCACACCAACCTAGAGAAATTTTAATTCTTTAACTAGAATCATATGTGTGTATGATGGAAGGAGGGATAGAGGGATGTAGAGAAGATGAATCAATAAAGCTGGGGAATCAGTGGTTAACTTCTCACCAGCAGTAAGATCAGGATAATACTCATTTGTGTGTTCATGGAGATGTCCTTGTGAGGGGAGATCCCCCACTGTCTGCAACATCTTTTCTGTAGGTGTCCTAGTCTAAGCTGTGAGCAACTTAACCATTTGTCTAGCACAGTTCCTGAAACTTGGCTGACATTGGTAAAGGATTTTCAGTCAATGAGATAGGAATTATATCTTATTCATTAATCTCTTAAGCATTCTACCATTATGTAAACTCTAGTCTGATATGACGTTGTATAGTAAGCCCTGGACCTCAAGGTTGGTTTGAACTGCAAAGTCAATAGTTCAAACTCACCAGCTGCTCCTTGGAAACGGTATACAACGTTCCTATGAGTTGGAACTGACTTGATGGTACTTTACAACTACAACCAGCACTTAGTAGTGCTCAATAAATGCTAGTTATGTGACTGAAATGTACAGGCCTGCTGCCTGATGCAGGGTAAAGAAGGAGACAGGCGTTAAAGAAAAGCACCATGAAGACATTTTCATTGCTATTGATAGGCGGTAAAGAAAAAGAAGAGCAGAAAACCACGTAAATAAAGTATCTGCTGCTTTTAGCTTATTATATACAAAATAAATGAAGGCAACAACAACCGGGACACAATTCAGTTCCATTTCATCCAGAAGCAAGAAAAAAAATGCATAACTGTTTTCCAAACAGGGTCACGTTTATAGGTACAGGGGTTAGCAGTCTGGCATACCTTTTTGGGGAGCCCAATTCCATTCATAACACCCACGTGTGCTGTCTCACGGCTCTTCAGGTTGTGAACGTTGCAGGAGGCGTCTCCTTTCTCGATGCTGTAACGTCCATGGATTATTTCCCAGGACTAAATTTGGAAGGCTACCCTAACAGAGACAGTACAAAATACGCTGAGATTTATGGTATTTCATCTGCTCACACTTTGTTGCGGGGAACACTGAGATACAAGGTAAGTAGTCGTAGTTTTGATCGATTATATTGCCTGTTTGAATGTAAGTGATGTGTACACTGGGTTTAAATCCAAATTCTCTTGATTGAATGTATTAGAGACACAAAAGGACAAGCAAAAAGGGATCTATTGACTGATGAGGAGTAGGTGCCAGGTGAACAGGTAGTTTTGGGTTTATCAGGATTTGAGAACAAATTAGCTCAGAAGAAAGAGGCCTGGGTGCAGTGGTAAGAACTTGGCTGTTTTGTGAAAGATGCAGAGGTTTGAAGCCAACAGCCACTCCATGGGAGAAAGATGAGGCCTTCTACTTGGGTGGAGATTTGCAGCTTAGAAACCCTATGGGACAGTTCCATTCTGGCCTATAGAGTTTCTCTGAGTCATAAGTAACTCAGTGCAGTGCACATGGGCTTTACCAGGTTTAGTTTCTCTTCACCTCTTGGTTTTGCCTTCCCATAATGACTTGAGTCTCAGGTCTTTTATGTTCAAGCCCTGTAGGAATACAAAAGTACATTCCCGGTAGCTAAAAATAACGTTTTTGTTCTACTAGCTGGACTGATTTCTGAAGTCAGAGGGATACAGTGTGCTGACTGGCTTTATGTTCTATGACTCTAGAGCTACAAGGTAGAGTCCGCATTATTGGGAACACGTATGTTGGGGCTTGGTTAGAGGACCAGGCCACGTGGGAGGGCCTTCTCCAGAGCAAACCTGGAATTTTGTTTCTACAAATGAAGAGTAGATTCTAGGAGCATAAATTACAACTGACCATGCATATTTGTAGTCCTGGTGTAGTGCTGTAGGATAAGCAAGGTCAGCAGTTCAAAGCCACCAGTGGCTCCTCGGAAACCCTCTAAAGGGTCACTGAGTCAGAACTGACTCGAAGGAATGTAACAACAACAAGAAGAATGCACATTTTTCAGTCACAGAGGAATCGTAAATATGACCAGATCAAGATAAACAGCATACCAAAAAAAAAACCAGCATATAACTGGGTTTATGGGATATCCTCTGGTAGCGTAGTAGTTATGAATCTGGCTACTAATCTCATGGTCGGTCAGCAGTTTGAAACTACGAGCTGTTCCAAGGGAGAAAGATGAAGCTTTCTGCTCCCATAAAGATTTACAGCCTTGTAAACCCTGTACAGGGTCGCTATGAGTCGGAACCGACTCCACGACACATCACAACAACAACAACATGGGATTTCCTGGCTAGGACCAAAGTGAGGATTTGACTTGGTGTGCCATTCAGATCCATTAGTTGCCTGCTTTCTGGAAGATGTAAGGCACACCGGCCTATTTGTGTAAACCCTTCAATTCCTCTGCTTTTCCCTTCCTCTTATCTTTCTACTGAACTCTCTGCCCCCAGATATCTCCATCAGTCTTTTTTATTACCTTCAGGGCTTTGTTCTTGATGAGGTTCCTCCACTGCCATGTTATTAAAAATATGAAGCTGTTGTTGTTGTTGGCTACCGTCAAGTTGGTCCTCGACTCATGTAAACCATGTGCATGACGGGATGAAACACTATCTGGTCCTGCATCACCCCTGGGATGAATTGCAGGCAAGACTACAGAGATCCACAGGTTTTTCATTGACTGATTTTCAGCAGACCACCGGCTCTTTCTTCCCAGACCCTCGTTTTAACCCTCCTCTTTCTCGTCTCTTCTTCCCCCAACACCTCCCCATTTGTTCACAGAACATACTGCTCCGATTTCATCCATTGTTCAGAATCCATCCCTGTAGACATTTGTGCAGAACCCATTCCTGTAGATAGAATCCATTCCTGTAGACATTTGTGCAGAACCCATTCCTGCAGACAGAATCCATTC